AATAAAGAGCCTGGACAATTAGCTTAATCCTAGCCAATAATTAGCCATCTAAAATTAGAGGAGATGAATGCGCAAGGTTTCTTCTGTAGGAGATGCCCTCGCTACTGGAGAGGGTGTTCGCGGAGAGCGACTGCAGCTCTCGCCTGCGGGGTCCAGACCTCCCAGGGAGGCAGCTGGGCGGTGGGAGGAAGGTCTTTCCACGTGCAAGCTCACAAGTGCTTTGGAGAGTTCAGTTTTCAGCCTTGTGGAAGGGGAGCGTGGCTGGAAGCGTGTTTCTTCCCAAACGGACTCGTTTAGCCTGCAACCCACATCCTGCAGAACATATTTTCTGCTTTTAAGTTCTTGGATCCCTCTTTTCTACAAAGTAGGGCACACGTACCTGCTAAAAAGACACGGGGAGGGGGAGCTGGTGGGGGCAGTGGGCCCCAGCACTGGTGCTACCTTGTTTTCCACCTTGTTTTCCCAGCACTGAGACAAGGCTTAGATGCAGCCCTAGGGCTGGCTCACCGCAGGAGCAGCTCCAGAAAGGCCAAGACCACCCTGGACTTGGCTCCTTCCAAGCCAACATCAGTATTAGAAAACACAAAACCTCCCTTTTTGCAGGAAAAATCCAAGCATGTAAGGGTCACACTCAATAAATTAAACTACAAATGCAAATGGTGATGGAGCTGAGATGCTTGCAATGGTCTACAAATACAAGCAACAGAGGGGATTTTGGGACACCTCTCTGTCCTCATGTCAGCTACTCTAATAACAGAGGAACAGGACTGAAAACATGACCCTCACGAGCCAACTCCAAGCCAGGGCTTCCTTGGCGATCAGCTTTTTCACACGGTACTATTTTTATCTTTGACATGAGGTTTGTATTGAGAAATGAGTGTACCCGTGTCTCCTCTGAGGCTCAGGTTATCTGGGCTCTGGGCACTAAAGCTCCGAGCCCCCACGGGGGGATTTATTTCTGCTGCTTAGCCTTTAGGATAACACAAGACAGCGTGACAGAGGCCAAGCAGAGGACGGAGAATAGGGCAAGATTTTGCCATTCCTGTTTCACACTTCCTTTGCCTGCACCGCACAGGAAACCCCAAAATATGTTAAAAAATTAACTTCAACGAAAAAAAAACACCCTAATGCTCTTCCCTCTCAGAGAGTGTTAGAGACAGAGCACTTGTTGCAACTTCATGACATATGACATTTCATATGATGTCCCCAGATGCACATTTGTTTCTTCTCCAAGGAGAGGAGGGACTCCGCTGGATATGGCCCTGAGCAACCTCATTGATTTTTAATAGAAAAAACCTGTGCTAGCTGTGAGGTTAGCCCTGCTCGGAGCTGGAGGTTGAAGCAGAGATCTACCAACCCCAGTCCATCTGGGATTTCAGGCAGAGGAAGGGGTAGTACAGACTTTTCTCTTTTCACCTCAGATAGAGAGCCACCACAGGGGCTATGCCAAGAGTGGTCAGCAACACGGGGCTCTGTCTTCAAGGCAACGGAGGTCTTTCCAACCCAAACCCTAGCAGAAGCAAGGCATGCATGGGTTTTGCCTTGTTCTAGGTGGTTCTCATCCCAAAAATGTCGGTCGTCAGATAAACAGAGCTGGAGCCAATCTCCCAGGGTGTGAGCATGGTACCAAAATCTGGTGATTGTTACAACAAGCAGTCACTTTTAGCTTGGGGTTGACTACAAGTCATCCAATATCTGTGGGAAAGGGCAGCAGCCTTCTCCTCTTGGTTGGATTTGGGGAAATGAAAGCTGCACTATGGCCCTATGGGAATCCTCCCACCAGGCACTATTGCAGCACCATGACACCCTGCTCTGCTCTGGCTCTAGCTTGAAATCGAGGAGGAATAAAGCACACAGGCATGGCGGTGGGTCGAGCGGCAGGGGTCCAAGGGAGGGTGAGGCAGTAGCCCACCATGGTGGGCAGGGGATGGTACCTACAGGTGCTTCAGCAGCAGCAGACCCTCCAGTGAACGCCTCTTCACTGCCTGCAGATAGTTGTCCTGGAGGACCCTGGAATGAGACAAACGGACATTTACTGTAACACTTCCAGGAGGAAGTGGAATTTTCAGGGGAAAATATCCCGCAGTAGCTTTACTAAAACATCTCTTTGAGTCACCACAGGGATCATCACCACTCATTGCAGGAGCAGGCACTTGCTCCTGGGCTGCTGAAGCTAACTGAAGCCTGATCATTGATTAAATAGGCACAGGGGTGGTCCCGCAGGACGGAAGGGACATAGCTCATGGCATTTCTTGCCATCCTAGGAAGCCCTGGGGATTCACACCCCTCCTTGCTGAGCAGCTCAGCTTTGAGTTCAGATGGAAATGGTTTCTTGCTGAACAGCTCAGCTTTGAATTGAGATGGAAACAGTTTGTGTGGGTGCTCGTACTCGCAATACCCTTGGCTCAAAAACCAGACGAAAGGATTGCAAATACCTAAATTCCCGACATTTTAAATGCTAGAGGATACTTACAAGGACTCAGCCCATGGGTATTCCCTCCATGCTTGTTTTTCGATGGAAGAAATCGAGTTGCCAGTGAAATCGCTGAAAAAAATGATTGACAGTGTCACCCCTCCAGAAAACCCCTTCCTCTGCAAATCTGGCTGCTGAGGGGGAAGGGGAGTTTGCCTGGAGATGCAACAGTGTGCCAAGCCTGGCTTTCACCCCTTAGCACTGCAGCACCACCCCCCCCAACCCAAAATGTCTCCTGCTGGTGACTCTCCTGGGTGTCTCAGGAGGTGTTATAAGGAATAAGATGCAGAGGAGGGGAAGAGAGAATCATAGAATCATCTATGTTGGAAGGGACCTATAAGATCATCCAGTCCAACCATTAACCCAACACTACCCTAAACCACTACTAAACCATGTCTCTCAGCACCACGTCTGCCCCTCTGTTAAATATCTCCAGGGATGGCGCCTCCACCACTGCCCTGGGCAGCCTGTGCCAGTGCTTGATAACACTTTCTGAGAAGAAATTTTTCCTAATATCCATCCTAAACCTCCCCTGGCACAACTTGAGGCCGTTCCCTCTTATCCTATCACCAGTTCCTTGGGAGCAGAGCCCGACCCCCCTTCACTACCCCCTCCTTTCAGGGAGCTGTAGAGAGTGATGTGGTCTCCCCTCAGCTCCTCTTCTCCAGCCTCAACACCCCCAGGGCCCTCAGCCGCTCCTCACCAGACGTGTGCTC